AGTAGTAGTAGTAGTAGTAGTAGTAGTAGAGAGAGAGAGAGAGAGAGAGAGAGAGAGAGAGAGAGAGAGAGTGTGAGAGAGTGAGAGAGAGAAAATATAAACTGAAAGCGCTATGGTTTGTCACTCCAGCGGCAACACTTTTCCACAAAATTGCGTGGAATTAATGCTACGACAGTGTATTGTTCAATCGACACGTCATTGTTGCATCGAAAACGAATTTTACGAATGTTTTAGCCGAAATTTTTTATTTTACTCAGTGGACAGTGCATGAGTCACATGTATGCGTGCGTAAAAGTAAAATAAAGATGACTACCTTACCCTTACACCTTACCCAAATAAGTGCAGTAATAGTTAACTTAAGTCTCTCTGATGGTATATATTCTTAAATATATGATTCACGCTCACACACACACACACACGATATGAAACAATATAACAGGAGTATTTTGTGAGTGTGTCTATGAGGTCGATTAAACTTACCTAATAAATTATTGTTGTCTTCATTTACATAATATATTTTACCAACAGTTTAAACACAACAGGACAAAATATCTCTACATCGTCCAGCGAAGTGAAAGACAATTGCACACGTGTATTTCAAAGGTATAACGTGTAATTGAAATATATGGCTCTCTTTTCTTTTAGGATTAAATGAAAATAAAACCGAGCAACGCTCCACTTTTAAGGGTACTTGAGCTTCTGCTGCTGATTAGCGCGGAACTCTTGACAATTGAGTATATATATATATATATATATACTCTTATTAACTTATATATATATATATATATATATATATATATATATATATATATATATATATATATATATATATATATATATATATATATTATTGCCATCAAAAACGTTACAATTTTTTATTGGCAAAAAGTCCGCAGTAACGCAATTTATTTTATTGTGTTACGTATTCTCTGCTTGTTGCCATAAATAAATAATATGATAATATCAAGTCCACTGCAACCGAATTTGTAATTTAATTAAGACATTATTAATTGTTTCTGCAAATAGATAATAATCCCATTTGATTTACATCAATCAGCATAAACGCAACCTACACAATAATGTAATTTCGTATTAACGATGTAATTTTATATATCGTATGCATATCACGTAAATGCAATTTTTTTTAATCTGCGCATAATCGCATCGCATAAAAAATACGTATATTCAATTCACAAAAATACAATGACAGAGAAAGAATGCTACTGAACAAATAGATATTCTGAAATCTATAATGTCACGATTAGAGGGTAAGTATCTTAAATGCTTTAAATTGCATCGACAAGCAACAAGGCAATTAAAAACTAAACACCTCTTCCCCGCTTTCGACGATTATTTGTTCGTAAATGTAGAATTTTTCGGCTCACTTTTACAAATATCTTGTACCTGTGCAAAATTAACTCTTCGAAGAGAAAGTTTTACCATCTCAGAATAAAAATTCGCGACCATTTTCCGTTTTATGAAACTGATTTCAGAAAGGATTGCTTTCACATTTTTGCGGTAGATCAGCTTTTCTCACTCAGATCTTTGGTCCACTATTAATCAGACAATCATTCTCTCGTTTAAAAAAATATGTGTGTTTTTATCGTTAATACAAATATTACAAATGTCAATTTTTATAATTATCTCACAATCTGTACAAATTTAATAATTCTCTGTTATTTTTCTTTCATTATTTTTCCACGCATTTAAAAAATTTCCCTTTTTCAGAATCTTTTATCGATACATCTGTATTGATTTCTGCTTCGCAAAATCTTCTAATTTTTTTAATAACTATTGTGCAAGATGTAATTCAATTTAAATTTTAAATGAAAGAACAATGAATATGTACTTACACAAAGTAACGTTGCCACAATTCCATTTTCTTTGCTGTTCTGTGATTATATTTCCTCAACGATTCTTTATGTCTTTTACGGATGCCTGCTAATTCAATGATCAAAAGTAAGTGAACAAATTTCGAGCCAAAGAGTAGCTTTTACATAAGCAATGTCTTAACCATATCCGAATAAATAATAGAATTTTGTTAATATGAAATATATAGCTTGTGTATAGAGATTATTTAAAAAATAGTTTCTTAAAAATGCTTACTTGATCATTTATTTTAATAAAGTATACAGAATATTTTCGTAAATATAAAATACTATCGAATCTAAGCATTCTACTCTAAATCATAGCCACAAACCAGATTCTTTTTGCGTATAATTAAACTTCTTCTGATCAGAATATATGCATATATATAATGTAAGTACAAACATATTCTAAAAACAGATTTACATGTAATTTGTATTACACAGTACATTGATGTTAGAAAGAAATATACAGGATGATTCAAAATAACTTGATGTCCTTGCAATGCCACATTCTTGAGCGAATTCTGAGACGATTTTTCCTTTTACAAAATTTTGTCCGAAGCTTAGTTATCGAGTTATAATTGAAAATAATTTGCTACTTACGAGTCCAATACAATGGACAGACAGGGACGAGTAATGCGTCATGAGACGATAGTAAACACACTTGACAGTCTCATTATACGTTGCGCGTCCCTGCCTGCCCGTTGTACCGAACTCGTAAGTTGCTATCTATTTTCAATTATAATTCGAAAACTAAGCTTCGGACAAAATTTTGTAAAAGGAAAAATCGTCTCAGAATTCGCTCAAGAATATGGCATTGCAAGGACATCAAGTTATTTTGAATCATCCTGTATATTAACCAAGTCGGGCAATGTAATGAACTAACAAGATTTTTCAGGATTGGACTTCCAACGGATTGAAAAATGCATAATATGTATTAACTATCACGATGTCAATTATTTTGTACATCAGAAAGGGATTCGTATGCAAAAAGATGCAAAGGTAAAAAGAAAACTTAAATTGCAAAATACAGATGCAAGAAGGTAAGCTAGAAAATAAACATACGAACGCGATAAAAAATATTAATTTGAAAAATTTAATAGAAACATTAACTTCAGAAACATCTTAATACTTTATCCACGTTATTTTGCGTCAAATCGAAACATCTTACGTCACGAATGACGGAACAATGCGTCAAAATGAGTATTATATGCAATCATGCACATTGAATCTCAATCAGATTTTCATTTAAAAGCAGTATCGTTTTCTGCCAATAAATTAAAATTTTCTTCAATAAATTAAAATAGAGCTAATCTTTATTTTTATACCTTATTAAATTTCAAAAATATGGCACCAAAAAGATGTAGTAAAAAAATTTTGAAGAAACAACGATTAATTACAATGTATATATAAAAATGACAATGTTATTAATAATGACAGTGTAATCAAAGTATTGATAATGAAATATTTTATCGGAAATTTTATAAAAATTCTTTTTATCTTTTTATGCATTTCAAGGTATTATTTTGATAATTTTATATACTGTGCACCTCCACGCGACTAAAAAAATCAATATTTATAATTTTATTAATTACCTTAAAGTACCAAACAAAAAAATAAAATAAAAATTAATAGTTTTTTTATACGAAAAACTCTTATTTTATGTTTGTTAATTTCTTGTGTGCCTCTTTCTCGTAACTAATATTATTATAAAATAAATCGATACTTTAAATCAATTGCTGTACGTGTTGTTTATTTATTTAGTGCTTAACAAATAAACACAGCTACATATACAGGGTGTCCGATAATTGCTGAATCATCTCTCGGGTATAGGTAGAGCGGGTTAAACCAAGTAGAAAAGTCCTCTACCATTTTGCGATTTTCGCAATAATTAATGGGAAATTACTTTAAAAATATCGGACAATTCGCGCGAGTTTAAGTGCGCAGCGAGAAGAGACCCGTGGTGGTACAGTTCATTGTTATTTGGTTACGCGATAAAGTGTTGGGAGGAGCACTCTACAATTGACAACGGCAACATACGAGCAATGCTGAACGCTAGATTGCATCCTAGCGACCACGTAACAGTGGGCTGTCTCTTCTCGCTGCGCGCTTAGACGCGCGGAAATTGGCCGACCTTCTTTAATTAATTTTTCATTAATTATTAATTATTAATACGCATCTTACACCGTCTCCATCAATAACTGTGCATGTTAATGATGTGGATTTGGAAACTAACGAGTTCAGAAGTACGATTGTAATATGATTATATATAGAGTCCTATTAACATTTTTTACAGAGACTGTCACATGATACATCAAAAGTATATTAAAATACTTATAAAGTTTATTATTATAGTAATATTGAAATACGACGTAATGTTCTTGATATTTTTTGAAATTAAATATTATTTTAATGATTAATAGTTACAGTTCAAGATAAATTATACGTTAATTTATTATGTTTTTGTGCAAATTTTAAAAGTTTTTTTACGGTTTTATTCCATGCTAAAAATGGGATTTTTTACGTGTTAATGATACTCTTCATAATTAAAATTACATATTTCGGACATGTAAGTAATAATAAATGACATTTATTTGTATATGTTAAAAGTGAATATTAAATTAAAATTCTTTATTAATAACAATAAAAAATAAAGAAAGATTTTGCAGCATATAACATACGCATATAACGCGGTGTCCGTTGGCATATACAGGGTGTCTGGCAATAATCGCCCCACCGGTCATATACAGGTAGAGGAGGTCAAATCGAGTAGAAAAGTCCTTTACCATTTTTTGATTTTTGTAATAAGTACTAAGTAATTAACGAAAAAAGATTGGTGAATCCGTTGCAAGTAAAGCGCGCGCAGCGAGAAGGAC